TCTCTAACCAGTAGGAATAATTATTACACTCAGTTAACTTGCTCCAGTTTTTCATCTTAAGAAGCTGTCGATTATTCTATGAATTTTAAGTAGTTAGCTGGTAAGTACTTGGAAATTATTTATTTAAAGGTGCTTCAGTGCATCTTATCAATTTGTGTACGAAAATCCTGAACATTGTTACACTTAACAGCAAATCTCGACTGCGAACCAAACATCCAGCAAACGATGACTGCACAGTGGACCATTTAGAAATACTGGAAGCATCTTTAAGAGACGAATAGTACAAGAGGATATTTGTGAAATCGCGTATTCAATTCTCATTCCTTGTGGACTGCCTGCAGAGTAATCGGAAGTTATTACTTAAAGTCAAGATGCGCACTAATCTAAAACTTGAAGTGGGTTTGAAGTTTACATCCCAGGGGACTTTGACAAAGTCAAGCATTGTACCTTATACCTTTTATAAAATAATAATATGTAAGGTTCACAAATGAATTAATTACTTCTGTATCTGTAATAATGGCGCAGTTCTCCGGCCAACTAATGCCGTTGAGAGAGTTTAGTGATATACTGGATCGGGCCACGAAATCATACCTTCACAATTTGAAAGATCGTGTCCAAATGTGTAACCTGAAGAAGGGAATTCAGGTAATATTGTGAAACGCCTGTTTACTTTGATAAGTCACGGTTGAGTCAACATGTGATCACAACACCGGTGCAAAAAAGAAACCGGGGAATAAAACAGGGGCAGTTATGTAAGTACACCTTTCTAAAAGTAAATGCTGAAAATGTGACGAAAAATTTCTCATCAACTAATCTTATATTGTGCTTATTTACGGAACGCTACCGGTGGACCTCTCTTGATGGATTTACAGTGACATTGTACCATAAATTCAAAATTCTGCAAACTATAAAAACTGATTTCTTTTTGCAAACTAAATGAATTTGTGCCATCATTGTCGTTATTTTGTTCTGAAGTTATGCTAGTCAGTGCTTAATATGTTCTGTAAGGGTAGGAACAACGCTGATAAAAAACCTAGAAGGTCATAATCTACTCCTGAAAATATCTAGAAAAAGGTAAGGGTGCTGAATTACTGCCTGTCACGCTGAAAACCAGCACTTGGCACAAGTCTGAGAGCTTAAACAAACCATTTTGTAACAGATTCAGAATTTACCCACCATAGGATGTTAGAGTTATCTCAGAATTAGGGAGATTTGATCCAGCATTATAGTAAGCTCGGGTATTGATGGTACGATTGCTTCATTTCTCAGTATTTTATTCGTTGAAGGATAGGAATGCCACATTGAAGATAACTGGCGCAAACAGGGCCTTTCTATTTACAAACTAAAGTATATAAAATTTATCATCATTGGCATTATTGTTTATATGCAGTCAAGGGCACGCGGCAATTGTATGGCGGCTATATCTATTCCATGAGGAATGAGTTAATGAGATTTCCTTCTGGATATTTTATTTTGACACTCTGGATACATAGGTTTGTGCAGAGTTGTATGTTACTGATAATATTTGAGAGTATCACGTGAGTTCAACTTTAGACGAGTGTGTTTACGCAAATTGGGTTCTTTCAATAAACTGCTCATGTACACTATTTTGTCATTTGGAACTCCTTTTTCCGTAGGTATTCATTTTTGGGGTTTTACTGCCTAAAAATTAAGCACAGCATTGCTATCTCTAAGCTTTCATTCGGAATGCGGGCCTAACTGATCTTTATGACGGTCACTTATGTGTGCATTACATGTTTTCAGGGTTAACAGTCACATTTTCAGCTTTGATCGTTGTCACCGACGTGGTTCAATATTTCGACCTGTTGTATGCTTTGCAGTTGTGCTAAAATTGTATTTAGTGATGTTTGTGAATGGTAACTCAACTCCAAATGACTAATAATTGTTTTTGCGTCCCATTTTCAAAATTTGCCTTTGGTTTTCTGTTAAGTTCGGACTTAAAGAAGGGTCATACAGAATAGCATGAATAACCAATATCCGTTCAACTTCAGTTATTGTCGTAGTTTTTGTGGGTGGTTTGGTGTTCAGTCTTCTAAATCTACTTAATTTCAATAATATTGAAATAATTCAAAGTAAGGGTATTATATGTGTGCAAAATGAGGATGTAATAACTGGAGAATTAATGTGCATACATGCATCCGAACGTATTAGATTTTATGTCTTATCAGAGTGAATGCCTTTAATACCTGGGCTAAACTACTGTTTAAAGCAAATAACTGATTTTTGTACATGTATTAACCCTCACGAAACTTTTACAGCGACGGAAAGAAGACTGATGCATCATGAGTGAGAGTAGAAATTCATGAGTGAAATGAGTATTAGAATTTAAGATCGAAGGATGATTTTGAGAATGCCACTAAACTGCCTTGCACGCTAATATAATTGTTTATTTTCGGTATTTCGCTGGTACTGCAACGTGTCTAATTGCAATGCGTAGGTTTTATGGATTCAGTAAAATGGCTGCATTTCATACCGATCCAGCTTTTTGTATGCACAAAGGTGTAAAATGGACTGTCAAAACCTTTTACAGCGAATTCAACAGAATATCATTAACATGAAGTTATACAAATGTAACGCAATATATAGGTAATTGTCGGCAGTTCTGAAACACCATGAAACATGTCATTTCAATCACAATGAGAACTAGAATATAAATGCACTTGTGTTACTCCATTCAATGTTGAGTCATCTGATAAAATCGGTAGCTTCCAAGTTGTATCAAACACACCTAATGCATTGTGGGTCGAATATGGGTATTAATTCGTCTTCTCCCTATATCATTATATCATAGTTTGTTCTAGTCTCTGCTTCTCTCAGTTAATTATATAAATAGTACATAATATGACGCAAGAAATTGGTTACGATTATCGAAAGACTGCATTTTATATGCTCGTAGACAATATTTGACTTCAAATTTATCCTCGTAGTTTTTCCGTAGGATCGCGTCAATAATCTAAACTAACTCACTAGTTTTACATGGTTATCAGATGACATACCCCACATGACTATGCTAAGCTTTTGTTGTTCACTTTATGGACGTTACTAAGTGTCGGTGACGCCTTTTCGTTCGTCCCTTTGAGTTCCAGATACAAACACAAAGCCATAAGATTTGAGTTTTGAAGTCCCAGTAGCTGCTGTGGTATCTTTACGGGTTGGGATTGCTGGGCTCACGTGCAACCTTCCGTCGCTACTTGGCCTGTCAGCCACTAGAGGAGATTTAGGAGTGCGTTTACTGGGAGTTGACCTCTGGACCACGTCGGCGGTTGGCAGATATTCTACCCTTGGACCACTTCACAGTTGCCTTAGCGTATTTCGTTGCTCTTGAATAGCTATTCAGCGTGAATAGAAAATCACGAGACACTACTGGTAATTCACTATCTGGAGACTTTTTAAGTCCCATACTTCAGTCATTACTAATTTAGCCTTACATTAGGCACTCAGATACATCGCTCACTCCGAAATTTAGTTGGGATGTAGCTCGTTTGTGGTATTTGACTTAGTCAGTACGTTTCGAATTCAATTCCCACCGTACCTACTGCAGCCTTCACGAACTGCTGGTAATACCAGCCTTCACATAACAATTGTGGTCCAACCGGAATCTTTTCTGGGTTGTTGTTGTCTTCAATAAACATATTTTTGTCTGTTTCACTGTCAGTTTTATCTCTGAATGTCTCTCAATTAATAATACTGAAGAATTCGTCTAGTGGTATCACTAATGTAATATTATGACTGACCGATTTTCCGTGTTTTGAAAGTAATAAACATTCAATTTAATAGATAGCGAATGATGTATTTTGTATTTCGTTCTTCTCATAGTTCGTGAGGTTGCTGCGTTCTGACAGGCGTGCAAAATTTAAGCGCCTTAGTTACTTTCATATGATACTTATAATCCACTCCTCCACAAAGATATGTGATATATGAATTCCAGTCAACCGCTTGGTTTTATTTCATGCCTATAATTTATTAGCAGTGAATGTGTAAATGAAACAGACATACTGGTCGAGGTACTTTCAAACAGTAAATCGTGAGATCACACCTTCCTGTCTCCAGAAAACGCAATTAGACTTGGGTCTACGGTTCATTGATTTAGACGCTTAGCTATCAGTTAGTGCGTCTTGGATTCAAATCCCTCTCCACTTACATAGGTCTAGACAGCCATATAGTGTTATCAAACCTCAGACAAAATGGTTCATCACCGAGTACATCTAAATACAATCTAACAAAATAAATGCTTTTCATCTAATTTGCACATTTTCTCACAATTCGCTGTATTATTCTCATCAAAATTTCAAATTAGAGGTAGAAACATGGAGATTTTTTCACACTGAAGGAAGTCATTAGATTGACAATTTTTCAAATTTCTGCTAAATAATACTAAGCTGCCAAGGTACATGATTTTTTTCCTTCACGTTCCCAGTGGAACATGGGGCTTCAAGCTAGTGGCTTGAATTTTCTGTAGCTGTGTTTATTTTTACAGGATGGGGTTGCTAGCCCCATGCCCAACCTTTCCTCTTTACCAGCATTATTATTTCTGGCTTAGCGAGGTAAAAGAGTGCGTTGGCGGCCGAGGATCGAACCCCGAACCATGTGCATGGTCGACGAGTGTCCTAACCGCTGTGCCAGCGACGCACCCATATGATTTACACATGTTAAGTGATTGCAACTGATCCAACAGTTCATTTATCAGTTGATAAAAAGTTCAGGGCAGCATCTCATAGCATAATCCAAACAAAGGCGCGTTTATATCAGTGTTCAATAAAAGCTTTTGTTTAGTGTATTTCCTTGAATCGTTCTTTACCTTGCCTATCTTTTTTTCCAGGTGTTTTCGCTGTACCAGCGGATACTCAGTTTGCTTGTTCCCCGTCTGTTGAATTACGTCAAACATATCAGATTAATTTATATTTTGCCAAGTGATCTAACATTTCGGAAGTGGAATTTCAGTTGTACTCGTGGCGTCAGTATGTACAGTTATCACAAAAATGAATAACTCATCAAACTACAATCCTATGGTGGGTAGAAATACTGAATTGTCTCCCGGTGTAATTCGTGATACCAGTCGACGTGTACTGAACCCAAGTTCTCATAGCCATGAGAATCACCTAAACTGCCTAACAAACTCCTCAAGTCATGGGATGTTGTGTTCCGGAAATGGATTCAACAAGTCAATATCTACTTTTTCCTCTTGCTTTCCTAGTCTCACTGTCTCTATGGAACAAAATCTAGGCGCGGATTATTCTCAGTATCATTCTTGGAGTAGTTCTCCACCGCCTCCAGCTCTTTCTCCGGTTAGTTCATCACCTACACATGGAAGTAGCAATACTAATAATAATAATACTAATAATCAACCGTCTTCTCCATCCCCTCCAATTATTGTTGCTGAAATTCGAGGACCCTCATCCATTTCATCCTTGTCAGCTTCTGAGAAGAGCACTCACGCTGGGGAAACATTCAAAATGGCCAGCCAACAAATACCACAAACCCTCAATAAACCATCAGCAAACTCTAGATGTCCTCGAATAGTAAGTGATATATCTATGTCGAGTTCAAGCAGTTCATCTTCTTCTACATCTTCTTCATCAACTCTAAATGAAACTATTCATGTTACAAATGGTCTACCAATCCTTGAGAAAATCTCTATTGTTCTTGGATCACCTATAAAACAAGTTGGTGATAACTTTATGGTTCGTACTAACAATAGTTCACCGCTAAAAGTTGACGAACCAAAGCTTCCACAATTGATCTTAGAAAATCACTTACTTTCACCTAGTAAATGGGAAGAACCCACAGAAAAGGTGGATAACTCTATCAAAACTAACTTGCCTGATGTAAAGGAGGATAGCAAGATAGATGCAGTATCGACTGACAAGCCCAAAGTGACACCTAAGCGAAAAGCATCAGCTCGTCCAAGGCGTAGAACCAAGTCACGAAAGATTCTGGGGGATTCAGATTCCGACTTTGAACCATTTTCTCAATCCCAACCAAGTGGATCTCGTGGAAGAGCAGATGCAAGAGCTGCTATTAGTCGAGCACGACAAAAAATTAATAATAATAAAAGGTGAGTCTCATTGGCCTAGGATGTATATTATTTAGAACCGTGATATATATATATATATATATATATATATATATATACCATAGAGCTTTGTACAGATGTGCTGCAGTTCGAGTTGTCACCTCCCCCCCTTCATGTAGCACACAAAGCAAGAGAAGAGAGTAAAGAGAGATAGTAAACAGAAGTGTGAGTGAAGGGAGAAGAATAGTAATATGGATATGAGAAAATAGACTTAGGTTTAGTTAAAAGGACATATTCAACGTCAAAATAACAATGAAGACCATTAAATCAAATATCAGAGGTAATAGTACATCTGCTATGGCATCAAAACAAAATTTTTACCAGGGAAGGTTTAATGTGATGACGAATTGTTACTTTGAACGCATAAAGGTGACTTAAACTTTCTAATTGCCAGCTAGGGCTTTCACAAACTTTAGGATACGCCTCAAACACGTTTTATAGATAGGTTTAAAAGATGTGTTAACGTCAGTCTTATTTCCTGTTACCTCTATAATATGTTTCGGAATAGAAGAGCTAGATCTTCTGTTGTCACCGTTAATAGGTCCTGAAGGTTCCATTTGTATCTGCAGCTATTTAGGAATATGCCCTGAAGCCAGCCCTTACTTGCAGAGATCGATGAGTCCTCCCTTCTTTGTATGTGTGTCCACACGTACATTCAAATAGGTAAATACAGTGGAATGTAGCGTCATTTTTCGCATGTTCGTTAACAGATCTTTTAAACCTATCTATCTATAAAACGTGTTTGAGGCGTATCCTAAAGTTTGTGAAAGCCCTAGCTGGCAATTAGAAAGTTTAAGTCACCTTTATGCGTTCAAAGTAACAATTCGTCATCACATTAAACCTTCCCGGTAAAAATTTTGTTTTGATACCATAGCAGATGTACTATTACCTCTGCTGTTTGGTTTAGTGGTCTTCATTGTTAATATGGATATGACAAATCACAAAGAGTGAATGCATCTGCACTGTCATGAGAACTGTTTTGAGCCATATCACCAACTGTCTCCAGCCAAGCTGGACCTTAGCAACCTGAGAACTCCAACCGGGCAGTTTTATTCTTCCCTACATAGCTTCATGGACTGTCTCCAAGTTTTGGTTTGACCATTACTGGCTCTTTTTCAACTTGATCCTATGCCCTTCAAGGAAGGCAGTGGCTTGACATGCCTTGATACATGTCCTAACCATCTCAATCGATGTCACTTCACAACTTTGACAATTTGTATGAATGCATCTGCGCCACTATGTCACCAAACCACTACTTTGTTAGTATGTGGATCCTAGAGCGACATTTAACTAGAGAAGTGAAATTATCCCTCGATAACCTCATTCATTAGCGCTAGTTCCTTAGTCTAGTTTGGCCTAACCTCCTCTGTTTTCAACCCACTCCTTCTACTCATTAGTGAAGGCATTGGGTAGGTGTGTGTAACACATGTCCCAGGCATCATATGTGTGCAATGGATGCTTATAAGTACATCGATAAGTTCTCCTGTCGTCTCATCTATGACTATACCTAACTTTTCCCACTGCTGAAGTAATCATGAGTCATTTCAAGGCACATTTTTTAAGTGGACCGAGTTGTAATTATCAGCAATTCATTTTAATCCTAATGATGTATAAATTTGGACTGTGTCGCGGGAAAAAACAAACAGTGTATAATTTTACCCGCCCCCCTCTCCCGGTAGTACATTAATCTCTAGTCTTCTTGATCATTAAAATTATAACAAGTGAAATTTGACAATGGGAAGTACATAATACCTACCACCACAGTGATTGAATTAGATCTGCTGTTTACAAGATATTTATTTTTTACAGCATGTCAAATACGGAATATATCTTCCACAATTGAAATAGTTTTTAACAACTTTGATTAGTTGGAGGATTTCGTCATGAGTAGACGTCAGTTAGAGAACGATTGGAGAACCCACTGGGATTACTGGGCAACCGTTTCGTCAGCCTAGTTTGGAACTCTTCATCAGTACGCACACACCCTATTAGGGTTCGAACACAGAACCTTCTGGTTAGAAGGCTAGTCAACTTGTAGACCATTAAGCCACTAGGACCCGATCCAATGCCATCCCATGAATTCTATCTTCTCCCAATTGACGACATAGCGCGAGCGCCAGCCAACGTCTTTGGTGAGTATTTGTCCTCACGCCCAACTGCTGCATGCTACTGGTCACAGCTTCACTAGAACCCCAGGTAACTATCTAACTGAATAGGGCAAGTCGCTAGTGAGCATCAGATGAATTCCCAAGTATTGGTGTTTCTAGGGATTTAGTTTTATTGGTTGGGGGATTTCATCATTAGCTGACATCAGTCAAAGAACCTGGAAGTACTGGATAACTGTCTCATCTTAGTTTTGGACCCTTCATCGGTACTCACTGGACGAAACAGCTGTACTCCAGTACTTTCTGCAGGTTTTCCAATGGTTCTCTAACTGATGTCCGCTCATTACGAAATCCCCCAGCCAATCAAACTAAATCCCTACAGAGAAAAATATTTGAGATTTTAACAACTTCATTTAGCTGCTCCGCTGACTGGTGGTTATACCCAGTGTTTGACTGTTTTCACCGTTTTCACAGTATAACCTACATTCAGAGAAGGACGAGATTGCTTTCAGTGATTTATGCAATCATATACACAATGTCGATTTCGTAAGAAAAGAAAGGATTTCTTTCCCTTTCGGATTTGCCTTAACAGATTACACTTGTGATTAGTGTTCAAAACACTCAAAATCAGTTGCGCAATTAAAAAAAAATACTAGTAATTATATTGGGATATTATCAAAAACACATCGGGATTAAGTAATTAGGGTTAGACGATGATTGAATGTAGTCAAATGAGTTAGTTAGAAGAAAGGGAGAAATCAGAATTGTAAGACAGAAAAGTGATGCAATATAACAGTGATAACAGACTTGAAAAAATAATTCTCAAGGATAAAGTGTAGAATATTTGTATATATCCACTGTAAATCTAATTATTGAATATATTTGTTGTGTATTCTACAGTTCAAGAAGTTTTATCATCACCGTTTGAAGATTTCCATGTTTTATGTAGATGATACTAGAACTGGTTTTTGGGTCCACCTGATGACTGAAATCGTCTGGATTTTCTCAAATGTGATTGTGAGATTTTCTTTCTCTTTTATGAAAGCAGGAATGCATATATCTTGATTTCGCGTGTAGAAAGTAAACGTTAGGTACAGCCAAAATATATACCTAGCTTCACAGGAGTAGGCCAACTGAGAGATACTCATTGAGGTGAGGAAGCCAGCAGTGTAAACAGATCCTTCACGCATAAATAAATTCTACGTTGTGTAGAGAAAATAAGGCATTTTTCTTTAGTTTTCTAGAGAGTGGACAGTTTCTAAAGACTTTTCTGCCAATGAGTCTCCATTAAATTCTAAATTTAAAACAGCTTTTTTGGGCGGTGGGGTGGGGGTTGGAGTTAGAGATTGTATATCGTTTATGCAGTTAGGGATATTTGTTTTTCAGCAAGACATTTTTGAAAGTTTACCCATGCTAGCATATGGACAGTAGGCATTATGGATTCTGTGACAAAGGGGGGGGGGGAGATCATGTTCGGTTAGTGTTCATAGTCATCCAACTATGAAAGTTATTAAGTTATCCGTTCCATCTGGTTTTCCTCGGATAAATCTCAGCGTACGTCTACTACGTGTGTTTAACTGTATGTCTAAGGAAACTATCTTTAAGTGGAGCTCTTCAAAGTGAGGCAATATAGGATTTCTGGCTTTGAATATAATGAAGAGATCATTCGTATATCTTTTGTAAAAAATCAAAATGGTTTATTTTTGTACTCACATTTTAACGTGAAGAAATGTGCAAGCAGATGACCCATAGCTAGTAAACCTTGTTATGGAGGGAGAATAGAACATTTAAGGCATATTTAATAAGGGTTATTTTAAATAGTAAGTAGGTGTGCAATATTCAAACCGTTGTAGTTACTACATTCAGCATATATAACATACTGTTTCAGTCAGTGAGATGTTCTTAAACAGTGAAACTCTCTCTAATCAGATCATAATTTCATCATGCATTCAACCTTATCAATGCAGCTGACAAAGTCATCAGAATTACTGGCTGGGCAAAGAAGAAATCACCTTTTGATCAGCTCCAGAAATCGGCCAATCCTATGGTAAGGTGATTCTAACATATCAAGAATAGGTTGAAGTAGCGATTTCTTTTTGTGTACCTTAAATAGTTCGTACATCCTGGATGTATTTAATACTTGGAGGTTTCATCGGTTCACAAACAACTTGCAATCAATCAAAAGGAACAGTCTTCAATCTTCATAAAACATGCGTTAAATTCTGTTCTGTATTATTCTTTTCTCTGATTGGCTAAGTTGAACTCTGAACACCAGTAACTACCAATGAGTGAACGACCTTGAACGCACCAATCACATGAAAAAGATATTTTTTACATATATTTATGAAAATAATTTATGAAAAGGCATAATGTTACACAGGACAGGCTTTTCTGACGTGTGACAAAAAGGAAGTAACTCTGTCCATCATCCAAGATGCAATATCTCTGTAGTGTTGGTATTACTGTTTTAGCAGTTGTAGCTCTCACAGCTTGTTTTAAAACCCAATAATTACGAATACATAAAATCTGGGTTGATGACAAGTGGGACTAGCAGAAAAATGTTCTTACAAAATAGTGTAATTATCAGCTTACCTTCCCTCGCGCTGTGATTTATTTCAAACAAACTTTACAACGGTGAACGTGTCCGTCAGTCAATCTACTAAATCGTTTTGTACTCATGATACCTTCACAAGAAGAAATCCTTTCCTTTTTAATCAGTTCCACCATCGAAGCAATACTGAGACACTTGGTCTACACCAAATTTCAGATGTGACTGCGTTAGAGCAGGCATTTGACTCAAATCAAGGGGAATAAAATCCTGAACTCACGTGAAGAGAATCTCATTAGTATATTGAAGGCAATTGGTACTGCCGCACTCTATTGGTAGTTCTCAGTGCTTAAAGTTTAACTTGGCCTATAAATTTTGTCTTATCAGGTAAAATAATAGACACTTTAATAATGTAATCAATACGATGTCTTCACCTCTGTCAGGTCTCACCATCATGATTTCGCTGTTTATCAATCGTGTAAGTTCTCTGTCATACTTCTTGGTCAACGCTGGTTGATCGTTTGGTATATAGGGAATTGTGACAGCTGTCGAGGATTGTACTGCAGGCGTTCTTCGAGTATTGAGTACTAAACTAGAGCTTCGATTGCTGTGATAAGCAACAATTTTTAAAAAAATGTCTTCTTTTTTGTCATATTAAATTTCTTTCCTTTCCTATCCTTTACAGATCTGTTGGTTGGGCTTCCTCAGAAGCTGTTGGGGGAACAAGTGCAGATATTGCTATGCGTAGAAATACTTAGAATCACCTTTCTTGTGCCTTTGTCAAGGAGGAAAAACAGTTTCTAGTCTGTTGAAATCTTCAGGAGAAGTCGTCAAGTCCAACTGCATTCCATCCGGTTCAAAAACCAATAACCTAACACCAGACAATGAATTAGTCGATATGAGCTCTTTATCCACTCATATCATCAATCCCGCTTTACGCGACTTATCTGCTCAACAAGTTGGTGGCAATAGTGTCTCTAACTGCAGTATACCAGTCAATTGTCCTTTCAAAGCCTCTAATCTGAATGGAGGTGAATCAGTTAATGCCGAGAAACATGATGTGGGGATTGAGTCTCGTAGTATCTTGGCAGGTATGAGTGTTCTTGTTTGTTACTTTCAATTATAGGCATAATATGCCTTTCGTAAACTTGAGCTTATGTAAGTTTTTTTCCATTTTATATAGGTATTACCTACAGACCTTCAGGTCCTCTTCGTGGTCGTGACTACCAGTTTCCTACCTCAGTGAATCCTAAAAGTCTTTGGATATGTGCATTCTGCGGTGAAGATAACAAGTATACTGAACTTGGTTGTTTATACGGTCCATATTGGCTTACAGAAGCAGATATAAAACAGCTGCCCTCAGAACTCACCTATAGTTCCACTGAAGAATACAAGTTAACACCAGATGGGGAGACCCAGTCTAAGACACCAACATCACCTGTATCTAGACGTACAAAGAGTATAGAAAAGGTTATTCGTTCTGGTGTTATCACGTCGACAACTACACGATCTGCAGCAGCTCAGGGACGCACTACAGTCGCAAATACTGGTGTTCTCCGCTTAGTCATTAAGGCTTCAGGTGCTCAACGTTTATTGAAAAATCCACCCAATGAATGTAAGACAAGCAATGAGTCGTCGACATTTTTAAAGCCTAGAGTAGGCTCCGGTGGTGAAGTTTGGTTTCATTTCGAGTGTGTACTTTGGGCTCCTGGAACATACATGAAAGGAAATGGTGTCATCGGTGGACTCGGTGAGGCTTTGCAACTAGCTCTAAATGCAGTGAGTTTACGTGTTTCTCTGTATTTCAGTTGCATTCCATTCTATCTATCTATCTGTTTTCGACATACAACTTTTTACCACTGTGCTGCAGTTCAAGTCGCCACACTCCCTCCTTGTAGCACACAAAGCAAGAGAAGAAAGTAGAAGAAATACATAATAGAGACAGTAAGCAGAGGTGTGAGACAAAGGAATAGTAATAACGAAGTATAATATAGTTTCATTGGAAATCATAAGTCACAAGGGGAGTGGATGCATCTGGGCCAGCCACTGAGAACGATTTTGAGCCATATCACTAATTGTTTCCAACCATTGGTTTTACCGTCCCGAGAACCCCAACCAGGGAGCCTACATCTTCCTACGTGGCTTAAATTAACTGTTGTAGATTTCATTGACTGGTGCCATGTTTTTATTTGACCACCGTTAGCTCTTTTCCAGCTTGACCCTATGTCAGCTAAGATTGCCCGTCGAGGAAGGAGATGACTAGGCGTCCGTAACAGCCCGACCGATAGTTGCTACCTTGACGTGGTGGTCAGGCTTGTACATCGCGATGACCCAACAAGCTATACTGGCTGGAACCAATGTTCTTGCAGGTCTTACCATGTCAGGAAGGTTGTTAGGATAGCGATTAGACTAAAAGCAGTAACCAGCTTAGTGTAAGAATCTTTCTTACACTATGCTGGGAGTCTGAGGGCGAAATCGTACTTCTGGGGAACAGGGGTGTAACAGCAGTGAGGTGTTTCCCTCAGATGACCAGCATGCCAGCCAGCTATGCTGTCTCTCCACTCCGGAGAGAGGGGATTAGAAAAGGTGGACCCCAAAAATTGTACATCCCGACTTACCCTACGGTGGTCCGTAACAGGCAGTAAGTTTACTAATACGGAACCAAACCGAAAAACCAGTTCATACAGGCCGTGTGTGACCGGTCTCAAGCAGTTGTCCCCTGGGCTCTGCGGTCACGCAACAATCTTTCTGTTACACGTACCCGAAGAATCAATCAACTTCCATGGTGTGGGCAGCCGGGGAGTAACAACCGCCCACACACTTCCAAAAGCACACGAAGCCTTCCTGAGCATCTCTTGCGTTTCATTAGGTGTATTCATATACGAACTGACAAATACATGTGACACTTTTATTTCGAAGATGAAAGTGCTTTTTAGAACACTTATCAATTCAATTTCGGAAGGTCGTCGGTGCTAACTACCGTGAAGTGGTGCGAACTTGGGACGGGAATGGAGATGCCCAATTTTTCTTGGTTTTCCTGATTTTTCTGACTAGCATCAGTATGTAGTAAAATCAAATTAGTTATTCAACACTAATGGAGAAAAAACAGTCGTTCACATTCGTTTAATGAATATGTGTCACTTAACTGGCAAGGTAACGATGATTCAAATAAATAAGTAAATATCATGTTCATTCATTAGTCTTTAGGGAAAAACCAAAGTTTTGCGTTTAGTGCTTTTGTTTCAGCGCTGACGAGATTGTATCATTCAAGTTTTCAATGTGGTCACCAATCTAGGTGACCCACCATTATAGTGGACTCTGTTTACGACGTTAGATGATTGGAGGTAATTCGTAGGAACCCGTGAATTAAGACCTCGCGCTTGCTGGAACTCTTTAGGAAGGTATATTTGCAACCTTGAAGGCACTGGTGTCCTGTAAGAGGTCAGTCATCAGCCTGAACTGTTCAGTTGTAACGGGTTACACCTTCAGGATTGGATGATACAGGGACATCAGTTAATCCAAGTTTGCAGCAGATGAGTCATGCTGCGGGGAACCAATAAGTGCAAAACCTAGGTCAGACAAGGCTTCCTACCGATTGCCTTCAACCGTATAAATATCAACTTCACTTATTAATGTCAGGCCCTAGTATGATGAGTGCTACTGATAGGATTTGTCAGTAGTATATAAAAAGAGACGTTCATCGGCATAAAAATATCAAACAACAGGAAGGCACATTTAATTTCAGAGAGGACAAATGATACAACATTGTGGAAATACGTGGGAGACTTGAAAGGATCATAAAGAAATACAATATGAAGTCCAGAAGTACCATAGGACGAAGATTTGTGCAAATGGTGCGTTGAAGATAGGGTTTTATTTTGCTAGATCACATAGTGTCATATAGTAATATTAACTGATAACCACGTCGCGAGCACAAACTATCGCCGCTAATAATCACATCAAGTCACTCACACTTTTTTCCTTCATTTATATACATGAGTGGAATTGACCAGATATTGGAATAAAAATAAATATATGATAATGTACATTCAGAAATAATAATACGAGTGTTATTGACCAATTAAAATTAGATGGGAAATAAGACGAATGTTTTTATCGTCATAATAAATAAAAACAGAACTTATCATCTCTATCTTCTTGACACATATTAACTCACTAGTGCATGGAATAAAATTCACATTTGAATCGGAAAATAAACAAGGAGAATTAGCTGTGATGGTAGATTGTAAAATAAAACGATCAGAAGAAGGTAAACTGCACACTAGTGTTTATAAAGAGCCAACGCATTTTGCTAATAGATATTTAGACCTTAATTCGTCTCATCCGTTAACTGTCTGTGAAGGCAGGCTTAGTTAAGTGTTTAACAAACCGAGCTGTAGCACTAAGTAGCACAAAAAAGACCTAATTGATGAAATAAAACAAGATAAAAGAAGCGTTGGTGTTCAACAACTATCCTATAAAATTCGTTAGAAAGATGAGTAAAGGCCAAAAACAAAATAAAAATAATTTTGGAACTAGTAATGATAAGATAAATAAGAGAGAATATAAGTCATCCACTGTTATACCATACAAGGAGGGGATATCTGAGAATCTACGTAGGATTCTCAGCAAAGCATGAATTAGCGTGGCATTTAAACATACTAACTTACTCAGTCAGGACAAGCTCTGTAGGTTGAAGGACCCTGTCAGTTGACCCAATTCGACAAAATAAGATAATTTACAAAATACCCTGCAGTGACTGTGAGGTCAGCTACATAGGTCAAACTGGTAGGTCGGGGGTAGTTAGATTATCAGAACATAAGAATTTAACTAATGGAAGAATGGTTGACCCCTAAACGATAAGTAATTTAGAAAAAACCTCAGCGATTGCACTGTATGCATTAACACACAACCACGCAATAGGTTGGGTGGGAGAGGGTTAAAATTCTAAAAAGTAATCTAGGTAGGTGGAGAGCGAGAGTTCATCGAGTCTACACCCAACACATGCAACAGAAATGACTCAATGCAAATACCAGAAATATGTATGGAAGATATTATTACCACCAGTCAGTCAAATCAGAACAGGATAATAAATAATCTTAAAATTCTATTTCAATTCAAGCAAATCACAACATTTTAACAAGTAACTTATTATGACTATAAAAACAATCGTCGTTTTATTTCCCATCTGATTGTAATTGACCAATAACACTCATATTATCATTTCTGAATTTACATTATCTTATATTGATTTTTATTCCAAAATCTGGTCAATTCCACTCATGTATATAAATGAAGGAAAAAAGTTGTGTGAGTGACTTGATATGATTATGAGCAATAATGTGTGCTCGAAACGTCATCAGTTAATATTACTGTGTAACACAACACTGTGTGAGTTTATCAAAATAAAATCTTATCCATAATGGAGTTATGCTCTACCACAGTGCCCAAGTTTTATACGTATATCGAAGATAAGGTGTACATAATTTGACCATATAGAGATACTAAATAACCTAAATAACCATTCCTTTAGCAAGTCTTCGTCTTCTACAATTGCAGTAGGTTGATTTATTTAACAATACATGTACATTCTTGAGACAAAGCAATAAGAAAACGTAATTCGTCTGAATCGTGTTACGTTGTATTTACACAACACATTTCGAACAATCTGACCACACACACACGGACTTGTCATAGGAATGAATACATATGAAATTAATAAAGAGTTAAGAGGCTATCGTGATTCGCGTGAAACTACCAGTGCTTTGTGTACTCACTGCCTTCACGTGGCGGAGGTGTTTCTCACCAAAGTGAGAGGGCGAAAGCGGATGCCCGGCGCTCTCCACCGGGTTGACTGTCCATTGGATGACGGTCTAGGGGAGATGGCTAAACCCTGATTCCAAACCTTCAACGACTGGCGTATGAAGCTCACTGGAGCTCACTGGCAGACGTATGGACAAAGGGCTTGTTGGGTGTCCTGGATGTCTGGCCCCATTCAAAAAGGCGTATGAACCGAACTCCGGTCACCGGCTGCCAATGGATAGTGGACTCCTTACTCCACTCCTACTGCCTTGTAGGTCACACTTGGCTGTGTAAAGGCTAGAGCTGCACTCTCAAACAAAAGGCCGAGCGATTCTGGGGACATCACTCGTACCAAATTCCCATGAAACTTCATGAACTCTCTTACAAATTGCCGCGCCTGGGCAGCGATGATTCGAGACGTTCATGAAGCCGGCTCATCCTCCCGTAGGAGATAGCCGAAGTAAAGTAAAAAGTAAGTAAGTACAGAAGAAACAAGTCCAACCACTACTACTGCCCTAGCCGGTCTTCAGTGGAGAATATAAACTGATGAATTCTGTATTATTATTATTTTGTTTCCTAATTTGCCTGTCTGATATTCAGTGTGTATTGTAATGTCGATGCTATGGAACTGTAATCCATTGATATTATTACTATCATTGATTCGACGTTATTTAACACAACATTAATGTTGTTAATAACACTAATTCTACATACAACTGTAGAATCCGATAAAGAGGTTATCGAAAAAAATATTGACAAGAGTAAACAATAGACACCAAAGTCAAATGACCTTGGTTTAGCCAATCAGATTCTTCTAGGCGAAAAGTGGTACTCGATTTACAAGGAAGTGTACCTACGATACATATATATATATATATATATATATAATTAAAATGAATCATATAGGGTATATATCTCTGATGTGCTGCAAAAGCTGGTCCCAGGTTCTCATAGAAGTGGTTATAGACATATCATACCAATGTATTCTCTCTTTCTCCAGCTGTAACAAATACTGGACTGGACCACACTGACTCCTAGTTTTGAAATAGGGAGTGAAGTGGTAGAGCACGTTGACCGTTTCACTTATTTGGGAAGTACCATCAGCCAACGCCAACGGGTTGATCTCTGACGAAATCTCAGCACGAATACAGAGGGCTAGTTTCGCATATGCCAGTTTACGCGGTCTCTGGCGTAGACGTGATATTCGGCTGGCTTTTGACCAAAGGGCGTGTGTACTCCTTAGCAGTCCGCTCCGTCCTTTATGACTGGCTGTGAGACCTGGCCATTGAGAGTGGAAGACATGAAAAGACTGGTTAGCTGCGTTCTATCTCCTGTGTGAAGTAGTATAATAAGGTGAGCAATGGTTAGACATCCGTCTAAAGCTAGGTGATCTGGAGGGGAAATCAATCGACGAGGCTGTGAAGCTACATCGACTGAGATGATTAGGACATGTGTTACGTATGCCTAGTCATCGCCTTCCTCGACGGGGAATGTTAGCTGAGATAGGGTCAGGTTAGAAAAGAGCTAGTGGCAGTCAAACCAAAACATGGCTTCACCAGTTAGTGAAGTCCACAACAGTTAGTTTAAGCCACGTAGGAAGATGTAGGCTCCCTGGTTGGGGTTCTCGGGACGGTAAAAACCAATGGTTGGAAACAATTGGTGATATGGCTCAAAATCGTTCTCAGTGGCTGGCCCAGAAGCATCCACTCCCCTTGTGACTTATAATTTCCAATGAAACTATATTGTACTTCGTTATTACTATTCCTTTGTCTCACACCTCTGCTTACTGTCTCTATTATGTATTTCTTCTACTTTCTTCTCTTGCTTTGTGTGCTACAAGGAGGGAGTGTGGCGACTTGAACTGCTGCACATATGTGCAAAGTTCTATGTTGAAAACAGACAGACACATTGGTTGCTTATACGCAATATTTTACTAAGGGAGAGCTTTGATTTCGAGTAGAAAGTGTCTAAAAAAATCAATTATGTGCGACTTACCAACCTTTACAGACTTCCTCATGTGAAGTGGTTGCATCTGAGTGTATAACTATCAATAGCCCGAGAATACTTTTGCAGAGTCATTATCGCTCCACACATTCCCCCCCCTCCCAGAGAAGTCAAAAACAAAATCTAGGAGACAGTTTCAACAACAAGATTTGTGACTAGCAACCATTTGTAATGCTGAGCTATCTGATTAGTCAAGTCAAGGTCATTTGACTTTGATGCCTATTGTTTACTCTTGCCAATATTATTCTTTGTTCAGAAACCATTTTTTTTGAAAATTTTAATGGGCATTTTTAATCAGTCGAAATTGGCATGCGATTCGCCCCTGTAAAATGTAAGATGCTGCTACAGGACTGGACTACGTCAACTCCTAGTTTAGTGATAGGGAGTGAAGTGATAGAACATGTTGACCACTTCACCTATTTGGGAAGTTGTATTAGCATCAACGGACTGATTGGCGATGAAATCTCAGCACGGATCCGAAAAGCTCGAGCTGCTTTCGCTGACTTACACCATCTCTGGCGTAGGCGTGACATCCAGTTATCAACCAAGGGACGTGTGTACTGCTCAGCAGTTCGCTCCGTCCTTCTCTATGGCTCTGAAACATGGCCAATACGAGTTGAAGACATGAAAAGGTTGACTGCTTTCGATCATAGATGCCTGCTATCTCTGTCTCACGTTAGGTGGTTTAATAAGGTAAGTAATGTTGACGTTAGGCGTAGAGTGTTGGGCAAAGAGGGAAAATCAATCGACGAGGCTATAAAGTTACACAGATTGAGATGGCTAGGTCACGTGGTGCGCATGCCTAACCATCGCCTCCCCCGACGGGCATTGCTAGCTGATATATGTGCAGGTTGGAAAAGAGCCAGTGTTGGCCAAACAAAAACATGGCCATCAATCCATGAAATCCTTGACAGGTAAACTGAGTCAGGTAGGGAGATGCAGACTCCCGGGTTGGGGCCCTCGGGACTCTAGGAATCAATGGCTGGAGACAATAGGTGACATGGCTCAAAATCGTTGTCAATGGCCAGCGCAGATGTATTCAGTCTCTGTAATCTTTCATATTCCTTTCTACCATTACCCATTCTGTTTCACTCTCATACTTGCCAGACTCTATTGATTCTCTTCACTCATCTTCTTGTCTACCTTTGTGTGCTATTTGGAACGTGGCAACTCGAACTGCTGCACTTCGGTGCGAAGTTCTATGTTGAATCCAGAAACAGAGAAATTCGAAAGACCTATGTAAAGGGGCATATCTCGTCTTTTTCAAATCCTCGTCCAGTTAAATCTGGTTCATAAACTAGTCATCTAAACAAACCAGGCTATACGAAATTTGATTGAGATTTGATGGATTTTGAGGGGATAAATTCGTCGTCAGAAGTTTTTGCAATAAATTCTTTCTCTTTTGACTATTTCATTTATTTTCAAGTATTGGCTTTGTAGGGATTTTGTTTGATTGCATGGAGGATTTCGCCATGATCTGACACCAGTGGAAAACCCCCCAGGGAGTACTGGACAGCCTTTTCGTCTTATTTTGGGACTCTTCATCGAAACGCACACACCGGGTTCGAACCCAGGACCTTCTGGTTACAAGGCGAGCTAGCTTGTAGACCATTAAGCCACTGGGACCCGATCCAATTATCCTTGAATTCTAACTTCTAACCCAGAAGGTCCTGAGGTCGAACCCCGGTGGGTGCGTACTGATGAAGAGTCCCAAAAATAGGACGAAACAGCTGTCTAGTACTCCCTGGTGGGTTTTCCACTGGTTCTCTAACTGATGTCAGCTCATGGTGAAATCCTCTATTTCATTTATTTTGGTTAGACATTACAAAATTTCTTAATTAAAAAAAATCAACTTTGTCTTTCTATCTCTCTCCCTCTCTCTGTTCAATACTTTAGAAGTGTTCATTTTGTTATAAACCTGGAGCAATTTTGAGTTGTTGCAATCGAGGATGTAATTTAAGTTATCACTATCAGTGTGCACATAAAGCTGGTAAGTTTAATTTGAGTTAATAATCAATTTTATGATAGAATTAGTAATAATACCTGCATTGTAATTGTTATTATTATTGTTATGCATGAAAAAATTCCCATCTGAACATTGGTAAAAACAACAGAAGTCGTTTAGCGAATAGGCTCATTTTCCTAGTTTGGGAGACATCTGTGCAATACTCACCGAACCGGGTTTCGAAACGAATACCTTCCACTAACATGGCAAGCTCGTATTTATTTATCGCTATAGCTGTACAATCGCATTTATGTGCAGTTTTTGTCTTCATGAAATGAGGGTAGTAACAAAAGTGATAAGTTTTCACGAATATACATGTTGATATTAGCTAATGCGTAAAAAGGAGTTGGATGTATTAGAGTTGTAGTCAGGATGCACCTAGAAACGAAGAAAAATATAAAGTTATTATGTAAGAGTTGTTAAGTGCGGCGGTGGCACAGCGGTAGGAATGCTCGCCAACCACGCAAGAGGTTCGGGCTTCGATTCTCGGCCGACATACTCCTTTACATCGCTAAGCCAGTAATCGGACTGGTTTATTGCTCATAATCCTATCAATATATTCACGAGGCAAGTATGAATGCATATTGTAATGGCGTAACTTTTTTATCCAAGTTACTTAACTTAGCACGGTCAATTACTCTAGGTATAGCTAGATTTTTATATTCCTACGATCTAATTGACCTCGATGTATTCATGTGACCTATGTAATTGACCTCACTAACAGTCATTACCATGATATTTGATAAATCGTATATATATATACTTTACTTCGGCTATCTCCTACGGGAGGATGAGCCGGCTTCATGAACATCTCGAATCATCGCTGCCCAGGCGCGGCGATCTGATGCAAGGTTTTGCGACAGGGTTATCCAATTCTTGTTCCACAGACGGAGTCCGTAGATGGTTTGTAGCCCTAGGCACTCCATATCAGCCTTGACTGTACCAAGCCATGTTTTCAGCTGTCCACCCCTGCGACATCGCCAAGATGGAAATGGCGAGGGATTTAGAACTGATTTGACCAGATCGTCATCTGGTCGGCGCAGAACATGGCCAAACCACCGAAGGCGACGCTGTTGGACCAGTACTGGAACTTGGTTGATGTTGTAGAGAGTTCATGAAGTTTCATGGGAATTAGGTACGAGTGATGTCCCCAGGATCGCTTGGCCTTTTGTTTGAGAGTGCAGCTCTAGCCTTTACACAACCAAGTGTGACCTACAAGGCTGTAGGAGTGGAGTGGGGAGTCCACTATCCATTGGCAGCCGGTGACCGGAGTCCGGTTCATACGCCTTTTTGAATGGGGCCAGACATCCAGGGCATCCAATAAGCCCTTTGTCCGTACGTCTGCCTGTGAGCTTCATACGCCAGTCGTTGAAGGTTTGGAATCAGGGTTTAGCCATCTCCCCTAGACTGTCATCCAATGGACAGTCAACCCGTGAGGAACGCCGGGCATCCGCCTTTGCCCTCTCACTTTGGTGAAAAACACCACCACGTGAAGGCAGCGAGTCGGACTTCCTCAGGAGAGGCTATGTAAGACGCCCGGTCATATGGGAGCATTTCAAGAGGTGTACGGAGGGGTGGCCAACCCGCAGCGCAAGGCACCCACCCCCGACCATCCTGAGGCTTTGGGTATATATATATATATATATATATATATATATGGGAGTACTATCGAGACTTTAAATTCCATGGTGAATTTAAAGTATCGTAACCGAAACCACAGTGACCTTGTACAACCACCAATCAGAATTTAGATGCAAAAAGTCACAGAATCGTTACAAAAAAACATAGCAAACTGGTTAATTTCCTCCTATATGTTGTAAGAAAATCTCCCAATTACTCCAAGGATAATCCAATAACGAAATTATACCATACACACGATGGAGGATATATCGATCAAGGTGACTGTAGATTATGGTGTACTTTTGAATCTATAATGTAAAAATCTCCATTTAGATTAATATAAGACATCATTAATATTCTATAGTTTGGTTTGTAAGGGTTAGTTTTGTGTGTGTTACAAGTTGATCACGGATTGATATCAGTTAGAAAACCATTGAAAACCAGCACTGGAGTATTGGACAGCTGCTGTTTCATCCTAGTTTGGGAATCATCGGCAGTACCCACCCACCCAGTGGGGTTCGAACCCAGGACCTTCCGGTTACAAGGCAAGCTCGTATACCATTCAGCCACTGGGACTCGATTCAGTGGCTCATGAATTCTAACTTCTACCAATTCATGATTTACGCGACCCCAACCAATGTCGTCGGTGGGACATCCATCCTCACACGTGACATCTAGATGGACCTCATTAGCCACGACTTCTCACTAGAAATTACTCCAGGAAACTCCATCCTGTAGCAAGTCACTAGCGAGCATCAGATTAATTTTCTATAGTTTGGTTTGTAACGGTTAGTTTTGTGTTTTACGAGTTGATCATGGATTGATATGAGTTAAAGAACCATTGAAAACCAGGGAAGTTGGAATTCATGGGGTGGCCATTGAATCGGGTCCCAGTGGTTGAATGTTATACAAGCTAACTTGCCTTGTAACTGAAAGGTCCTGGGTTCGAACCCTTGTGGTGGATGCGTACTTCTGATGATTCCCAAACTAGGATGAAACAGCAGCTGTCCAGTACTCTGGTACTGTTTTCGATGGTTCTCTAACTGATATCAATCCGTGATCAAGTCGTAAAGAGCATTTGATAAGGCAAGCAAAAAACGTATTTTTGGTAAATTCTTATCAGGCGGCATTACAATTACATAATAATTTGATGATTCGCCATTGTAACATTAAGAACATAATATTCAGCAAATAGACTCTTTCCAACAAATTTATTATTAAGCACTACAATCGTATATATACACGGTGTTTTTTATATTAAGAAATTATATTCCTGAGGAAATTTAAACATAAGTGTGGAGTATTTGTGATTATAATCATAGTTAAATGTTAAGCGGTAAAACAATTAATGTCGTATTTAAGTGTTGGTTTGTAGGGATTTGATTGGTTTCAGGATTTCATCATGAGCTGACATTAGTTAGAGGACCATTGGAAAACCTGGGAGTACTGGACAGCTGTTTCGTCCCAGTTTGGGACTCTTCAGCAGTACGCACCCACCGGGATTCGAACCCAGGACCTTCCGGTTACAAGGCGAGCTCGTATACCATTAAGCCACTGGGATCCGATCCAATGGTCCTTGAATTCTAACTTCTGCCAATTCACGACATAGCGCGACCACTAGCCAATGTCTTCGGCGAGTATTTGTACTCACACCCGACCCGCTGCACCCTACTGGTCACGACTTTCCACTAGAACCCCAGGTAACTACCTACCTGAATAGGGCCAGTCACCAGTGAGCATCTCATTGGTATTTAAGTGTTGGTTTGTAGGGATTAGATTGGTTACAGGATTTCATCATGAGCTGACATTAGTTAGAGAACCATTGGAAAACCTGGGAGTACTGGACAGCTGTTTCGTATATAGAATAATTCATAGGACGTGTGGATGTTGGAAGGTGTATAATTATATAGGGTTAGTAGGCTAATATAAAACATGGCGTAACATGGTATGAAATTCGGTAAGACAGAATTCAACATTCCAAGAAAATATTTGATTAAAAATAGCAAGTAAGACAAGTGGAAAAGGTTCGAAGTGAGAATAGTAATAATCACAGTGTTAATTATAATAATAATCCTAGTAATGAGAGGAAGGTACATAGATTAACTAAATAAATAAAAAATAAAGATAAATGCCTACCCCCCTCTATAACCAAGGCAGAAGTAGGGAATGTACATACTTCTTTTGTACACAAAATTGTGACTTAAATTCATGAATGGCCAAGGCTTTGGGTGTCTTTAGAAGTTAATAACGAAGAAAATGTAGCAAGTTAGCATGAACTCCAATAGATGATCTGGAAAATCATGTTCAAGGTTCGCGGAGTAGCAGGATTCGATTGGGTGTTCTAGAATAGAGCTTCTAACAAACACCCTTGCTTTCTCCCTTTTAAAACCATGCTGTGATATGTACGTGTGTTCGTTCATGTGGAAAGCGGCGTTCTATGGCTACAACCAATGTACCTTAATCCACAAGAGCTGGTGAAACTGGTAGATGCACGTGGATTCGGCCAAACGAGAAAGCTTATCTTTTACAGAGACACGGAACAACTTACAGCTTGCGAAAGCCGTATTATTTATTTATTTAAACGTAGAAAAAACTTGGTACAATATGGCACCAAGAAGGATGCGCCACACAATAATAATAAAACAACATACATAAAAAAAAGAAAAAAATGTAAGTAGAGAATGGATAAAGAACTTCATCTGGAAGGGAATAAAGAAGGAAATTGCAACACCTTCCTAATTGATTACGATTCTTGGGCATATCCGATAACGTTTCGAGCCATCGATTCGAGCTATCTCCTGGACCCCAACCAGGGAGTCGTGACACACCAACCGATGCTAATCTAGCACAAAAATCCTTCATCCCACGACGCCAGGTCATGGACTGACCACCTCTCTGCCTTTTCCATCCCGTCCCAGGGTGGCTAGCGAACAGAGACCTGTACGGAAGCCTCTCGGATGACATTCGCAGCACATGTCCAAGCCACCGAAGCGGTGCTTCCAGATGACGACACTCAATGAGTGGTGATCTCCACTGTGTTCAAAGACACGCCGTCGAACCTCAGAATTACTCACGCAATGATGCCATCGAACGCGGGCAAGCAGTCCTGCGGATACAGCGATGATCGAACACACAGAGTCGCCTCACATCATCAGCCTACTCGGAGAGACCAGGTTTCACAGGCGTAGAGTGGCGAAAGCCATGTACATATACGATTGTACAACTTGATAATAAATTCATCGAAGAGATTTTGTTACGGAATAAGACATCAGTCATCGACACTTGAGACAATATGGATCAATAGGATCAAATCTAATCAGTAGAATATCTATACTAGTAAGGGTAGGAGGGAAAATAACTATTATCACATATCGATTAGATAATATGATAATAATAATAGTAGATTGTGAAACTTACATTAAAATATATGCAATTAGAACACAATACGATATTGATAATGAAGTTAGCAGTAGAAATAAAAATATAAATGTTCACAGTTATGAAGTGTTAACAGGATAACTGACTCAGTAAAAATAAATAATGATAGTAGTGATAGTGAAAGTGATAATAATAATAATAATTGTATTAATAATAATATTATTAATGACGAGTCCCAAGCTAGGACGAAACAGCCGTCCAGTACTCCAGTGCTGGATTTCCAATGGTTTCCTAACCAATGTCAGCTCATGATGAAATCCTGTAACCAATTCCATATTAGTTTGCTTATTAGATGTATCACACAGTGATATGGTATTATTAACTGGATGACGTTTCGAACACAATCTAGTGTATTGTTCACAATCATTTCACTAATTATAATCACACGACTTTGAAACTTGAGTTTTATAGTTTTTTTTTGTCTTCTCCTATTTGTCGTCGTCGGGGTGGTAGTAGAATTTTCCACATATCTGGGTGGACAGGTGTTGAATCATTCCTTATTACGCGTATTTGCAGAATTCTTAACAAGGCAGGAATAAAAGTAGTAGTAGTCATACCCACAAACTCAATTTTCCAGTGGTTTTCTAACCCCGATGTCAACTCATGATGATGAAATCCTCCATGCAGTCAATTGCATATTAATTTGTTTATCACAGTGGACTTCTGATCATCCCATCCTGTGTCAGTGAAAATTGGATTGGTGAAATGTTTAAGTAATAAGGAACCAAAACCAAGTAGCAGCAAGGAAAATCTAAGATGGGAAGTGAGGCATATAAGAGAGGCTTTGAAACATAATAATTACCCTGATAAATTAGTCAGAAAGTATGTAGGGAAATGTAAAAGTAAAATAAATAATGATAGTAGTGATAGTGATAATAATAATTGTAATAATAATAGTAATACTAATGATGACATGCATGTCAAACACCCGCAGGATAATGACAATACAAACAACAAGGAATCGAAATCATCAGTAATAATTCCATACAAGGGACGAACCTCGGAAACCTTACGCAGAATTCTTAACAAGGCGGGAAGGAATAAAATTGGTTGACATTCAAACCTCCCACAAACTCAATTAGAAACAAGCTTTGTCGGTTAAAGGATCCCGCCAGTGGAGCCATTAAAACAAAACAGTTTAGTTTACCTAATATCCTGACGGAATGATTGTCAGGTCAAATACATAGGTCAAAGTAGTAGAACAAGGACAGTCAGACTAGCCGAGCATAAAAACCTAGCAAAATCTAGATTGGTTGACCCAAATAAGATAAGAAATCTAGAGAATAGTTCAGCTATACCCCTCACTACATGCAGCTACGCACAACCATACAATAGGATGGGTGGAATAAGATGACAGTTTTAAAATCTAATGTTACACCTGGGTGGAGGGAGACGTTGATAACAGAAGCTTTCTTCATCGAATCAACTACAAATACGTGTAATAGGAATGATTCAACACCTGTCTGCCAGATATCTGGAAAATTCTACTGCCCCTACGACGACAAATAGGAGAGAATAAAGAAAACTATAAAACTCAAGTTTCAAAGTCGTGTGATTATAACTGATATGATTATGAACACAATAAATTTTGTTCGAAACTGTGTTATCCAGTAAATAATACTGTTTCACTCACTGTGTGATACATCTAATAAACAAACTAATATAGATTGACTTTAGATAGTTGGAAGCAATCGGCAGCAATCCTTGGACCACTTAAGTTTCATTCTAGCTGGTACTCATCAGTCGGTATGATGTATCTGTAACACTGGAGGAACTCATGTCCCTTCTGAGATTCGAACCCATCACCCACTGCTGCTTGTAGTCGGAGGCGTTACCACTGAGTTATTCGGGCTCGCAATTGATTTCCTATAGGACTGTATTGGACACTAGTCAGTAACTAGTATAACGTCTCTAGTCATCTGTTTGTTGCAGAGGGAATTCTATCAGTCAAGTTTGCAATTTCGCCACCATTCTAGTTGGCTGGCCATCACGCATTCAAAACTCAGAAGGGTTGCAGATACACCTTACTGACTAAGTGGTTCAAGGCTTCCTACCAATTGCTTCCAACCATCTATTATCACTAATTCAAAGTGTACTGTGATGGGGAACCACCTAGAATGGTGATGATATTGCAAACACGACCGGTAAAATTCAATCTTCACCAAAGATAGAACTAGACACATTACACTAGTTACTAACTATTGTCTAATCAAAGACTTTGACTTTTGCTATGATACTTCTTTAATTGCTTGGAGGATTTAATCATGAGCTGAAATCACTTAAAGAACCATCGGAAAACCTGTTTCGTTCTGGTTTTGGACTCTTCGGTAGTACGCACCCACCCCATTAGGGTTCGAATCCAGGACCTTCTGGTTACAAGGCTAGCGAACTCGTAGACCATTAAGCCACTGGGACTCGATCCGATGGCTAGCCCATGAGTTCTGTCTTCTGCCGTCTTCTGTCTTCTTCTGACGTAGCGCAACCATTTCTCAATGTCTTCTTCGATGAGTTACTGCCTCAGCTTCAACCGGCTTTCCACCAGAACCCCAGGTAACTGAGAGCTCACCTTGTAACCAGAAGGTCCTGGGTTCGAACCCCGGCGGTACCGCTGAAGAGTCCCTGGTGGTTTTCCAATGGTTCTCTAACTAATTGATGTCAGCGCATGATGAAATCCTTGAAGTTATGATACTTTAATTCCGCCAATTCCATAGTATTTATATTATTTTCATTATGTTCACATTACTTCTCTTATTTATGTGTCTTATTTAGTGTATGGAATTACATTTATTTTACCACAGTAACTCAATTGATTGAAGGGAGTATAAAGCTAATTTCTATTGTTTTATTCTCTTGTTATTGTTTTGTTTAGAATGTCATTTAGATCGGGAGCAGTATATCCTTTTGTGTAAAAAGCATCACATTTATTCATAATCAGAACTGATGAGGATGGCCCCCGTCGAAATCTTTCCTCAATCTATCCTGTATGCTCCTCTATGGAATTGAATGCGTTTTATTTTCAACATTTATTTTTTGTAAAACAATAAAATAGCTAAATACAAATACTAGAAATACCACTACTATTTAATAGAGTGGTAGATTCATATATGCATTGCATTATTATCTATCATTGATGTTGTCGTCGTTTTCGTTGCCGTTGCCGTCGGCTTCTCCGTGTATATCCTTGGTGAAATGAAATAAGCACACACCCACATACAGGAACTGGGAACATTAGAAAAGTAAGTGATTGTACAGTTACATATTCTCCACAACCCCCCCCCCGCTCTTTATCTCTCTCCTAACCGTTCTCTTTTTGTGTCATACATACATACATTTCAATCATTTCTCCACCCCTCTCTCTATCTCTCTCTCTCGCGCGCGCTCGCATACATACATCAAAAAGCCAAAGATTGCTTAAAGTGTGTATAATTACATAGATCTTTTGGTGTACTGTTTACTCTTACGGTGTATACCTAGTTATCTTATGTATCTATGTATGTATGTGTGTATTTATGTAGATGAATGCCAACAACTCTGCCTTAAATTGTGTTGTTGAACAGTTTTATTGCTTTTATAATAAATAAAAAAAATAAGGAAATATATTTGTGAATACCTCTGTTATTACTCACCCACTCTCTCTCTCTCTCCCACTTACTCACTCACTCACTCACATACACACACAGCCCCCCTCACACAAATAGGATAACAGTGGGGCAAATAAGAAGAAATCCTCTGTTGACATCAATATATGTTAACAAATTATGCATGTATTTATATTTATTTATCTTTCCTTCTTTTTATGTATTTGTTGTTGTTGTTGTTGTCTAGTTGGTTGGTTGGTTTCGTTTTCGTTCCTGTTTCTTCTTCTCCCATTTTGTTCTCATTTATTTGGAGAGTGAGTGCCATTGTCACTTTTATTATTATTTTTTTTGTTGACCTCGTTTTCCTTTCCAAAGATCTCCACCACAGTTGTATATTATTATTATTATTATTATTATTATTAAATGAATCCATTTCATTGTGTTGCCTTTGTTTAACGACTCTCTCTCTCTCTATGTAATTGTGTCCGTAAATTATTTTTGTCATTATAGAATTATTACTAGTATCATTATTATTATTATAAATACTACTTAATTACTTAATGTGTTTATGTGTATATGAATTTATGATGTGAATATAAGCTGTTTTAGATTTTCTTTTTTCCTATATTTTGGTTGTTTTGTTATTGTTCTTTGTCTACTGTGATGATGGTCTTGGTGGGTGGTGTAGGAGCTGAGTTTCACCAGATGTTCGGTTACCGGACTCTCGAACACACCTATCGTCTTTTTCTTCCTTCCAAACTAGCCAGTATAGGATAGTGTCCTCGAGTTCAGTTTATAGGCAATTGGGTTTGTTAATCGAAATTAACACATAACAGGTTCATATATAAAAGGAACATCTTTTGTTTTTAAAAACTTTGTCCAATCATGATTTATAAAACAAATATTAACAAGTATAATAAACAAAATTGTATGAGTTGTGATCAAAATTTGACCTCAGACTTACAAATATGACGGGGTTGTTCAACTAAACTCTAATCCTAAACACCATAATTTTGAAAATACGTCTAATCATAAAATTCTAGATACTAACAGTTTGAACAGACATGAAGGTGTGATGTTAGATGACGCATAGGAAATCCTGATTAGTAAATAAAAATGGATATGTATCACTAACTAATAATACTTGGTCATAGTTTCCGACTGTCTATATCCACTTATGGAGACGTTAAGACATTGTTTTACAACTGTTTATCCGCACACACACATACACACTGTGTTTAAAGTGTTTAACAAAGGTAGATCAATATTTGTAAGTCTGAGGTCAAATTTTGATCACAACTCGTACAATTTTGTTTATTATACTTGTTGATACATGTTTTATAAATCATGATTGGACAAAGTTTTTAAAAACAAAAGGTGTTCCTTTTATATATAAACCTGTTATGTTAATTTCGATTAATTTCCTGATGACCAGATTTCCGAACGAAACGTTGGAATTACTCATTTCAATATCGCTGAGATTTTACAAATATTTTTACAAATGTCTACTTCTCATTCGGCGCCCAAATATTATAGAACTATTCTGTCAAATCTTGACTACAGTTCATTTGATTTGGGTTTGTTACTATTACAGGACTTCATGATGAACTGACGTCGGTTAGAGAAGTTGTGGAAAACGTTGGGGTACTGGAGAGCTGTTTTGTCCTGCTTTGCAACTCTCTAGCAGTACGCACCCACCGGCGGGGGAGGGGGGTTGAACCCCCAGGATCTTCTGTTTACAGAGCGAGTTCGTAGACCGTTACACCATTGAGGTCTGATGCAACATAGGCCATGAATTCTAAATTCTGCCTGAGTTCTCTAACCGATGTTATTTCATAATGATGAAATCCTGTAACCAATTAAATCTCTGCTAACTTACACTTGAATATATACAACTGTTGTTACTGGTTTGGCCAAGAAGATGAAGTGAAATATTGTTAGTCTTGAGGCGCAGATACTGACCAGAGTTGCAATTATTTTGAAATCATCCAAAAAAGATGACTGAATCATATCATATAAAAGTGATGTTGAGGTAGAAATTTCCCGAATTCATGGCTTTCATGATTTTTCAGTAAAACATACTTCACTGCCAGTCTGTGAGTAATATTTTCTTGCAAGAAACTATTCGGTCCACACGTGAAAGACAAACCAGTTGACTGACTCCTGTGCAGCTGGGATTACATTGCCCATACCATGCATCCGCTTGTAAAACTCACTCAGAAACACTATCCAGACTGGCTAGCAAAGGAAGAACTTTGGTGTGTTTATGGCTGGGTACCAGAACATCTGGTGAACTCAGGACAATCCAGCCCCTTTTGAAAAAAAATCCTTCAAAGTCTTATAGAAGATACGATCAAACCTCTCAAAAGGAATGAGGCCAAGACATCTGAGCATAGCTAAAGCTATTAGTCAGCGAAGAATTTCATGTTTTTTGAACAATGAGTATGCCGGAAAGCTCGTCTAGGTGGAACTGAATGATTATTTCATAGGAAGTATTTTAATATACAAATTGATCGACTAATTGTTTGTCGATCCAAATTCTATACTTTTAAGAACTCTGTAACTTTCTAAAATGAGAGTATATAATTTAAGCAAATACTCATTTTGAGTGATTTCTTATGAGGTTTCACAAATAGAACTGAAATTCAGACATATCACTTATTAATCGGTAATAATCACTGATGATATTCCTGATTATTTTATTTATTTTTTTTATTTTGATTACAGCTTGATTCCACTCTGTATTTTTGGTACAAGTATGGAATTTTCAGCATGGATATCGGTTGCCCAAATTTTGCAGGCCGACCATAGATATCAGGTGTGAGTCGGCAGGGAATTGAACCTCGGACCATGTGCATGGTCGGCGAAGTCCTAACCACTGTGCTACCGACGCACATGCGAAATACCGTGGTGAGCGGGAAGACATAAATAGGTTGGGACTTCGTGGACAGTCTATGTCTAGTGTCATACAGTCTCCAAGATCTACAGACGGAAACCAACAAGTTGGTAGAGGAGGCTAGCAGTTAAGACAGGACTTCAAAGTGAATATAGAGAAGGCATGGGGGCAAAGTTAAACTTTAGACAGCACTAACAACCAATCAGCAAACGACCTTGAACGAACCAATTACATTAAAGAGGCATATGTGATGAATGGAAATGTATATTTATAGAAAAAAGCACAAAATAGAGAATAAAAAAGTTGCATGGGATATCTTTCTCGAACATGTGAGAGAAACATCTCCCAGTTAAGCATGGGACTGTCAGTGCTTTTCCATCTGCTATCCTTTCGAGGAATCCCTTTCGGAGGGAGGTGTCATACAAACCTATTACCCAAATACTGTTCGCTCGCTGGCGACCACGGTTGTATTTCTTTTTTACCAGCACTGTCTCATCGACACGCACGATAACGTCTTCCCCACCCAGCAAACAAGTGATTTTCCCCATTTTCCATGATGCGATGTCTCTGCAATGCTGGTACCACTGAACTGTTGAGACATGGCTATTCTCCATCTCGGCAGCTGCTGCTCTCACAGCCTGTTTCAACACCCATTGGTTGCAGATATACAAAATCTGGGTTAGGGGGAGATGCGACCTAGCGAAAGTAAGTTCCTACGAAATATAAAAATTATCAGCTTACCCTTTCCAGATGAACAAACCCATCAGTTGATTTGGTATAGCTTTTTAAAGTAATGATACCACCACACAAACAAATTCGCTCTTTCCGGAGCAACTCAAATCCAGGAAATACTGGAAAACACTAACCTCCTCGAATTGCAACTGTAGCCTTGTAAGGTCACGCATTAGAAATGAATCAAGCGCTATACAACATTGAACTACGTTCGTGAACCTCATTGGATAATTCAACATCGTTCGTGAATCTCATTGGATAATTCGCTGATTGGTAGTTAGTGGTGTCGAAAGTTTAACTTCGCCGGCATGGGTGATGAAAATATCTAACCGACAGCAACAACAAAAAACATCAACCACTGTCGGTGAAAGAAATTGAAAGAAAATCAGCTCTACCATTATCTAGACAGCACTGTCTCAACTACGGGTGGCACAGATCAAGATGTTAAAGGAAGGATCGAAATGGCAAGATAGACTTTCACCTTTTTGAATATGTAAGACAAATTTATCGAAGAAAATTTTCTTTATCGACGAAATCCTCTCACCAGAGGCTGTGCAGACGTATTTATATTTACCAAAATGTGTAGTAGTCTATTATTGAATAATAGGGGAGGGTGACATAATTGATATAATTACTCAGAAGGGGCTGTAGAAGTAAAAATAATAGTTGTAAATTACCTGGTACTCAACGGCACTAATTTAGAAATTTGATAAGGTTAAAATTGC